GCACTAGGAGCAGCAGAAGACCGACAAGCTAGTAAATGACATAGAACATCCTTAAGCTCAGGAGAAGTCATGTAGATAAACTATCAGAAGTCGGACCAATTGAAGCAGAAATCGAATCAAGGGCGTCAATAGCACTAGACTGATGGGCTCGTGGATTAGAGCCACATCCTCTAGAATGGCCTGAGCAACCGCTTCTAGTACCAAACTGATCACCTCGATTCCCTGATGGAGCCCCATGAAGCTTCCAACACATCTCACGAGTATGTCGCGACTTGCGACAGTAATCATAGAATACAGTATCCTTTCCTGAAGGATGGAAAAGAGGTAGTGACAAATCAGCCCCATCTTGAGAAGGAGCATAAAGTAATGCTGAACGGTCTCTAATAGTTGGTGGTAACATAGCAGAACGACGACTCTTCTCATTCTGTACATATGCAAAGGCCTCTTGAAGAGATAGAAGAACATCCATGCCAAGGACACGACTTCGGACCGGATCAAACTCCACATTGAGGCATCTAGAAACTTAAAGACTCTCTCCTGTGCAAGAAACTTCTAATAACCAATTGAGTCAATTGTACAGACAGGCTTGTAACCCAGGAGATGATCTAGGCGTTTCTAACCATTAGTCAGAAAGGTGTAGTACTAGAGAACTATCTGCTCTCCCTATACTGAGCGCTCAATAGACCAACGTAGGTCAAAAGACTGAGAAAAATTCTCTTTTCGAGAATATGTAGTAGCCTTCACCAATCTCAGGAATTATGGAATGAATGAGCCACCCCATGATTAAAGAGTTGGTAATCTCCTATTGGTCATAGTCAGGATCCGTAATACTTGGTGGTTGAACTCTCCAATTGACATATCCCATATTCTCCCTACTCTTCAGAAAAAAGTGTCAGACACTGAGACCATGAAAGGTAATTTTGACCATTAAACAGAGCGGTGGTGATTTTGAGGCTAGGGTTCAGGTTCTCCGATGTAGTGGTCATAACTGGACTGGAGCTCTCCCCTTTAGATGGGTGAGAAGTAGTGGTGGATTCACTAGTTAGGTCAGCCATAAGAACTCTACAACTTCAACCCAAAAAACTTTGCACAATCACAAGAATGGAAAGAGGAATGGAATGAGCTGGAACAAGCAAAATCACATACAAACCACTATGGAAGCATAACAATCATATTAATGGGTCATCTGTGGACCTAAAAAATAAATCAAATACAGGAAAATGGACTCCAATCAAAACAAGTAGTGAACTGTGTTCAAGAAAGTAGAGGAAAAGAAGTTTGGGGCAACAGAAGATGGGTAGCCTTCAAACACTCATCCATGGGAGTTGAAATACATAAAGAGAGGCTAGGACAGCCCTCACAAGGGTCGACTAGGCCAGAGGGGCCTTTAGTTAAAGCCGAAACAGCTCTGTAGGAACTTGGCTGGTTCCGACAGAGACTCAGGGACCAGTGATGGAGGATGGGTGGTGGTAAGTGATGGCTGGTTGGTGGCAGCGGCTGTGTGGGTCACAGTTTTTAGGGTTTTGGCTCTAATACCATCTAATTTAAGAGAATACAAAGTTTGAGTGAACCCATAAACTGTCTTCTACAACGGTCTGACACGACCACACAGTGTCTGCTACAACGGTCCGACATGACCCCATAAACTGTCCCGACATTGATTCCGGTCAGCTGCTACATCGGTCCGACATGACCCCGTAAACTGTCTTCTACAACGGTCCGACATGACCCCGTAAACTGTCCTGCTACAACGGTCCGACATGACCCCGTAAACTGTCTGCTACAACGGTCCGACACGACCATACCGTGTCTTCTACAACGTTGGGAAAGAGATTGTGGATTTGTGCCTCGATCGAATTCGAAAATATATGTATTATTGATTGATGAATCTTGATGATCTGTTGTGTATATTACAATTACAAGGATTCCTATTATATAGGAGTGTGTTTGGGAGTAGGTGGAGAGTAGGTGAAGTGGAGGTGGTAGTGGTGTAGTGGGTTAGGTTTAGTGGAGTAGGTGAGGTGGTAGTGGTGGTAGGTTTATGGTAAATTCTAACAGTGATGATTATGATATCATCACCTTTATATTAATCAATCAACTGTTACAAAAGGAAACCCTAAGGTACTGATGAAGGAATCACCTATTATCTTGATTGATTGATTGACTGGTTAAGGAATCACATTCAATTAATTAATTAATCAATCACAATCTAATCTAAATAAGGAAACAATGAAATATTCTAACAGTATGCGCTTCTTTGATAAAGGAATAGCAGTAACACTGGAGAAATGGATGGGAAAAAAGCACAATTCTGCAGATTTTTTGCATCATATGGAGGTTGGGTTGCTATTTGTGATCTACCCTTCAATTTATGGAATCATGGGACTTTCGATTTGATCGGAAGGAAGTGTGGAGGTTTACTGGAGATCAATCAAAGAACAAAATCCTTTGAAAATCTGTTTGAAGCAAGACTGAAGGTAAGGGGCTCTGATTGTGGTTTTCTCCCAGCGAGAATGGAGTTGAAGGTGGATGGAATCTCAGTTAAAATTCGAATAAAGCCTTTGTCAAGATCTGTTAGAAAGAAAGAGGACCAGCAGCAATGGATTTTCTGGCAAGACTTCTCAGACAGCCCTAGTGGCGGATGTGAAGAAGAAGAGACGTTGGAGGGGACAGGCAGGACACGTAGCAACTATGATAAGGAAAAACAGTTAGGAAGTCAGTGGATCAAAAATGGTGGTGGAAATGAAGCGTCAAAGGATGTTGAGCCAAATGAGATTATTTCTGAGGGTGTGGGTGAGGAGAGAAAGGAGGAAGATAGCTTTGTTGGGTTGAGCAAGTTGTAGGGTCAGGGCCCAAATGACTTTCGAAAGTGATATGGGCTGCTATTAGTAAAAATTATGCTAACTCCCAATCGACAGGAATTAGACAACAATTTTAACTAAACAATCAAACAAGAGTAATCAAGCGACTGCGTTTTTGATTTAAATGCCTTGAAAGTACAAAGACTTCTTTAGAACAAAAGTTACAATCAACAAGATCAAACAAAGCAAGATCAAACAAAGTAAACACAACAAACTAAAGATGATTTCAAGATGAAACCACCAATGTTTACAAAGGTTACAAATTACAGAGAAAAACTACTACTAAATTACAGAGCTACTCCTAAAAACTAAGTGCAGTTGTGATGATCATGCCTCTCTCTGCAAACTTTCAGCTTTTATACTTTCACTTGAAACTCTTGCACATGATCCCACCTTCCTTGAAATTTGCTGGCCAATCTTTCCCCAACTGTTGCAACTGCTTCTTCATCTTTCTCCAGCACTTCACACAGACTTGCCACATGTCCCCCATGATCTCTAGCACTACCTTCGACAGAGGAGACAATTTTACTAAAACCCATACCTACTTGCAACCTCCTTTGCTTCTTTAAAATTTTTATCTTTGTCCCAACTTTACTTTTAAACCTTCAGCCACATCATCACCCAATTTCCCTTCAACTAATGAGCATGATCAACAGAGGAAATTCCTATTAACATCAACATCTCCTAGAAATTAGACCATGATCTCTAATAAAGCTTGCAACTGCTCCACAATCTTAGCCCATGAGATGCTCTCGCTGTATTGCACATGTGACTACCATTTCCTTGCCACATAATCCTTTGATTAATACGCACCCCAACTATGATTTTGTTGCCACATCTCACAATTTGATTTGTGCACCTATCGACAGACATTTTACAAAAATGGGTGCAAAGAGCTGTGCAATTGTTCAGCCCATGATTTTTCAAACGGGCTATTGTCAGATAATGGGCCAAGCTTAGAAATGAACCCACTTGTTCTTACAAAGGAATGTAACCAGCATATTGGCCCATTATTTAGACCTGTGGGCTAATCATCTAATACCTAATCTTGTACTAGGAAGAATAGGTCAGATCAAGATGATTCATGGGTTAGGGCTTCTTCTCTTTCGCCCGACGAATTCGAAGGAGGAAAAGGTTGACGAGTGATGTGAAGGCTAGCGAAGCATTGGGTGATGGGCAGAAGGCCTCTGAGGTGCCAATATCAGCTCTCAATGAGTCCGAAACTTATTTGGGCAGCAGATAGCGTTGACAGATCAAAGGAAGACACTTCGCTATGTGGAATCTCGAAGGATGAGCAGGATTTGGGAAGAGAACCAGAGCTACACGAAGATGAGGTCATTCGGAGTGATCGGCTGTCGAATGATGTGGAGGAGGGGGAGTACAATCCCCACGAGGTGTTGCAAGCTCTTGAAGGATATGGGTCTACGGATAGCTCAGATGATTCGACAAATCCAGATGATGAAGAAGGAATTAAGGATCTGACAGAGGAGGATTTTGATCCAAAACTGAATTGGCTATTTTAAGATGAAGAGGTTCTGTCATCTTCTTGCGCAGGTACACTGAGGTCCCCGATAGTGAGAAGGCCTTCGACTCCATTGTGGTCTTGCATTATCTTCACTATTTTTTTGGACCATTTGATTGGAAAGGAATGATAGGATCTTCAATGATAAGGAATCTGAGGTAGAAGCTATGTGGGATAGAGTGAGGCTTCTCGCATCATTTTGGGCCTGTGTCAAGGATATACCCCTTTCTTTGATTATTTGGGATTGGGTGGCTTTTTGTCACACCTAGTGGTTGATTGTAATGTGGTTTAGTAGGCGATTTTCTGGTTTTTAGTTTTTTTTTCTTGCTTTTGTATGAGGACTTCTTGTCCTCCGCTTGTTTTCATCTTTTATTTCAATAAAATTGTTTTGTTGCTCTTTCAAAAAAAAAAAAAAAAAAAAAACCTTAGATTATTTTTATTACCTTCCCAGACAGAAATAGTTGGTGATGATTTTGTTGGTAGAAAGTCTTGTGGGGCTTCATCATGAAGCTGTGATGCTTATGTTGGGCCTTTTTTGGCCTGACCTTTACCTGTTGTGTAATTCAGACTCTTTTTTGTGGATACTATCATACGTTTTTATCCCCTTTGCCTGGCAGGAAGCAGTGAAGCAGACATATCAGAGAACTCTCAAAGCCGGGACTGATTTTGGTTATCAAAAAGAGAGCCCCGAGTAAGTGCTTATTCTAAAATTCTCACTGCCAATATATCCAATTTCCACATGCATGTGTTCTTGCTGTTCACATTTATAAATATACTGCATGCTTCGACCTAAGTGCCATGGGTTTTTTTTTTTTTTTGGGGGGGGGGGCGAGTTTTACATCCCTATCATGGGTCACTTGAGTTAAAAACACACTGACGAATGATTGTTAATGGTCTGGAGAAACAATAATATTGATAGTATCATGACGTTCATCATGATAATTTGTTCTGCCCTTTCAGTGCAATTCTGTCTAGCTGATACTATTCCCTGTTTAAAGTTGGCCATGACTTGGTGGAATGAATCATGGGTCACTTAAAAACACACCGAAGAATGATTGTTAATGGTCTGGAGAAACAATAATGTTGATAGTATCATGACGTTCATCTTGATAACTTGTTCTGCCCCTTCGGTGGAATTCTGCCTAGCTGATGGCCATGACTTGGTGGAATGAATCATGGTCCTGGTTGGAATCATATATTCTTATCATCCAGCAGGACCAACACATTGGCATGAATGTTAATGCTCCATTTGGACTTGGACTTGGAATTGATGGGGGAAAAGGAAAAGGAATTGAGAACAAAAAACCATTTTGAATCGTGTTTTTTCTCCCAATTAAAAATGCGTTAGGTTAATTTTTTTTTAGGAAATGATAAGAAATCATGAAAAAGAGGAGAAAGATATCTAGAACTAGAATTTTGTCACATATTTTCATCGTATTTTCTTTCCTCGTTCTTCGTCGTAGCCAAACATAGAAAAAATATTTCCTTTGTGTTAGATTAAATCTTTTTCTTTTCATTGTTTTAGTAACCAAATGAAAGAATATGCACTCAAGCTCAATTCACGCCCCGAGGAGCACACAGGCACTGCCCAAAGGCAAACCAAACAACAACTTTCTCCCTGGAAGTCCTTAGATTGTGGATCTTCTCTTCAAGCTTTCTTTTGTTTGCTTCCCTAGATGTAGGTGTGCGGCCCATGTTCCTCTTCACTCCACCCTTATTGGGGTGGTTCTCTTCAATCACCACTCTTGAAGAATTGAACCTGGGCATCCCCTCTAAGCATTCTTAGTTTCCACCCCTTCAATGTCGTCTTCATGATTTTGTTCTTGAAGCTTTTTTCCTTGTGATGAAGAGGTAGGAACGTTTCCCTTGTTCTCTAATTTTCCCCTAGTCTCTTTCATCAATCTTTGGATCACATGATGAAAGCACATCATGAACCAAATGGTGCCTAAATAAAAAGTAACTTTCTGGATAAATTGGTCCTTACATGAGTTGCCACAAGATCGTATAGAATCCAACTTGTCTAAGTGTACTAATTAAAAGGTTAATCAGTGACATGTTTTCTATATATTTTTTCCCTTAAGATATGAGTTCCAAATTTTCTTTCTTTTGTTTCCTGGGCAACCAAAAAACAGAGTACTACTCACGGACCACTTGTGCCAAAGGGAACTGGGTACAGAAACTAATGAAGCACAGGCAATATTTTTAGTCTGAAATAACACTAAATTATTTCTGTGGAAAAACAAGAAGGTAAATACCACCAGAAGTCTATAGGGAAAAAAAAGAAAAAATAATTGGTACAAGGGTTCTTTATTCTTGTATTCAGTGGAAACTATTAGTCACTTTTTTTCCTGCTATTAATCACCATCTTGAAGTGTAATCTAGGCTGGATTAAACTCGTCACTTAATTAAATTTGTGTAGTATTTTGTGAAACTCATCAATATTGCATTCAGTGAACCTTTTCATACGTGCATCTTGAAATTGTTCTTATTTTGCCATTCTAACTTGTTCTTTCAATTATTAATTTAATTTTTCAAGTGATTTTCTTCAATTATTGTGACAGTTACTGTCCAAATAGGTAGAGACAGTAGGTTGGATTTGGGGGTTAAGTCATATCTTGCATGGAGGGTCAAGATTATAGAAATTCGGGTAAGTTACACTGACGGACCCTGAGGATTAACAAAATTACAGAGACCTCCCCTCTACTTTGGTTGTCGGTTTCATGTTCTCCCTTCTGTCAATTTTTATGCCACTGAGAGGAATGGAAATCACTGACAAAGCATTAAATTTTTTTAAGATCTCCATTGTTCCCTTTTATAATTTCTATACTTTAATACCTTCCTTAAGATCCATATAGTTAAAACATGAAAGCCTGGTTCGTGCATTTTTCTCGCTCTGATAATTGTGCTTCCTAAGAGAAAAAGAAATGCAAAACACTAGTGGTTTCTGTCTCCAGGGGTTGGCTGATTTTCATTTCTTCTAGAATTTATGTAAGTAGCATGGCTTTAGTAACCACTTCTTTGACATGCAGGAAAAAAAGGTAGAAGTTTAGATCAGTCATCAAAAAGAAAGACGTAGAAGTTGACATAATATTGCATGAGAAATCTACCCCCTCACCGCCTATGCCTCTCTAATTTTGTCTTTTCCTTGCTTGCTAGGGCTTTGGTACATGGAGCGACCATCTCTGCTTTTCTGGCTATTGCTAATGGTATGTCGGATCAAGGATGCGTATAGAAAGAGCAGCCCATTTGCATGTTTTACTACACTGCATGCTTAGATGAGACTGGAGACGTGTCCTATCGGCATAACCTTAGCGATCGATACAACCGAAAGATATCAGCTTAATCCTTGAGCAACTGTCATGTGGGGCTGTAATATCTCCCATAAGCTAAGGCATTCAGTATTGGGACATGGCAAGAGATATCTGTGTAACTATGTGTAATTTTATAGCTGTGGTTTGAAATGGGGGGCCAATTAGTATATATGCTTTTTCTATAAATGAGATACATAACTGAGAATAGGGTGGTTGGGAAAATTTTAATGTTCTTGGCCCAATTAAGAAGTTTAGTTCTGTGTTGCAATCTTTTGGAAATGTTGAACATTAATATCGGAAATAAAATTATTCTTTATAATTCAAGCCTAATGAATTACAATCTCTGTAACAATGTGTAATTTGTCTTCTCTACAATTTTAACAGCTGCAATTTTCAAATTCACAAATTAGCAGCAAGGTGATTTTATTAGAGCTTGTGGGTGGTGATGAAAAGGGATTAGTGTAACGAATACACCATGTGGTCTCTCCAATGGCTAGAGCTAATTTAAGACGTTATAGGTTTGTTTGGCAATAGATTAATATGGTTAAAAGGTTAAAAAATTATTAAAAAATAAAAATGTTAAAAAGTTGCATAGTTATATAAAGAAGTTAAATATTTCGTTCCATTTCTTTTACTTTTTACACATTTTTTTTTTAATAAAAAAATTAAAGTGATTCTCAAATATTTCAATTCTTTTTCACTCATATTTTAATAAAAAAATTACTTAAAAAAGTGACTTTCCCAAATGAACCCTACGTCACTTTTGCCTTCTTACGTGGTCAAATAAATGTCATTTCAGTTAAGACTTCATTTTCTCAAAACATTGAAGTGGATAATTCCGCGTTTATTTTTTTTTTTTAATCCGTTGAATATGGAGTTCAGCTGGATTCCTTATTCTCTATATGTGAGATTAAACAATTCTAGGGTGTGATTATTTTCATCGGATTGATATCCTATGAAACTAATATGTGAAATGTTCATTTTACCTTCATACTATTACTTAGTAAACAATTGAAAAATAATAAAATAATCTTTTAAACATTTATAAATTATTTTTTTAGTGTTGTTAATTTAAAATTGTATATTAAATAAAATAATAAATTACAAATTAAATTTAATTAAAAATAATAAACTAAAAATTATGGCCTTATAAATTAAATTTTTCTAGTGTTGTTAAAAAATTAAATTTACATATTAAATTAAATTATTTTTTAAGTGTTGTTAATTTAAAATTATACATTAAATAAAAAATATAAATTATAAATTAAATTTATTTAAAAATAATAAATTATAAATTATGGCCTTATAAATTAAATTTTTTTAGTGTTGTTAAAAAATTAAATTTATATATTAAATAAAGTTATTTTTTTAGTATTGTTAATTTAAATTATATATTAAATAAAAAATATAAATTATAAATTTAATTAAAATTAATAAATTATAAATTAAAAAATTTTATTGTTGTTAAATTATAAATTATAGATTACAAATTTAAAATCATACATTAAATAAAAAATATAAATTATAAATTATAAGAGTAAAATAGTCATTTGAACATTTATCTTTATCCAGTTTTTTGCATCCTCTCGCATCCCTCTCTCTTAACCCTCTTTGGGGTCTTTTGGAAACAATGGTAAAAAGTCAGCCTTTTGACTTTTTTAGTTTTTTTAACCAAAAAAATCAGTTTTTTTATCCAAAACAATCCAGTTTTTTTGCTAAAAAAATCAAAAAATTAACTTTTTACCAACTTTTCAAAATTCAGCCCCTCTCTCTCTCTCTCTCCCTCTCACTCCACCCTCGCGTCTACGTCTCCCTCTTTCTCAACCCTCTATGTCGTCTCCCTCTTTTTAGATTTGTATTTTATCATCTTCCTCTTTTCATATGACCATTGATCTCTAGGGGCGTTGAATCTATTTTTCTCCTTTCCTTCACCTTTGCAAAATTGTTTTTCCAGATCTATTGTTTATGAGATAGGGACCAAAGTGAAATGATTTTTTAGTAGTTTTTTTGTTGTTGTAAGATTTGTTGATGGATTTGATGAGATGATTGTGGGATAATACAATAACCAAAGTCATATGTGCAATATGGTGATGATTGAACATTGGTTTTTTCTTTGAAAAATGTAATGGGTCTCAAATTTTTTACTAAATAAATGACTAAATATCTAACATCTGTTTGGTAGAAAATTTAATATCTCTAGCATTATCCTTTTTCTTCTCTATTGTGGTGGTCAAATATAGTTTGGTTTCATCCGATCCGACCGCAAAGTTGGTTTACTTGATTTGTGCAATTTTGAACCATACATTGGTCGGAAGCGGATGTTTTTTTCCCCCAACCGATATGGTCGGGTTGGGTGAGAATCGCCGGTAAAACTAATCCAACTCGTGTACAGTCTTAATTCTTTCCTTTGAAGCCAAGTTAAATGTAAACAAAATAAAAATAAATAATTAAAAAAAAAAATGTGAAGCATTTGGTAACACAACTAGTTCTTTTGTAATTTTAATGAAAAAATGGCTATCTATCTTAAGAGGACAAGAGGTTTTCAAGTTTCATATATTTTAGGCAAATATTAGTTATTTAAGAGTAAAATAATAGCAATTAGATCCAAAGTTTTATCATTTTATGATTCCTAACGAAATCAAATAGTATTGATACATAAAATTTATTATCAGTAATGAAATTTTCATTCCTTTATTGTCATCCAAACATCCAAACATAGCTTGAGGTCTTACATTTATTGATTTCTATTTATTTAAGATTTTTGTCATTTAAAAATTGTCTAAGGTCTTGTATTTATCCACTATTATTTTAAAAGTTTGAAGAATACATAGTATGTTTTTTTTACATTTTTCGTATTCTAAAAATACTTTCCAAAACTTAATAAACATCACACATCACATAGCAACCTAAATCTATTAAACAACCAAACACTTTTCGAAATTCAAACATTAAAAACTTTCAAATATCATAATATGATTATTTTTTTAATAATTCTACTATTGTGGGCGTGCTTAATATTTGTTTCCTCTACTACCTTCTTATGAACTGTAAGCATTCAAACATCATAATATGATTATTTTTTTAATAATTCCATTATTATGACATGTTTAATATTTGTCTTCTCCACTACCTTTTCATGAATGTGATAGAAATTTTGTGAGATTCAAATCAAGAAAAATTATGAAAATATATAAAGAAAATAAATATTTTTGCAATTGATATACTTTGAATGGCTGGTGATAATTCAAAATAGCCTTCCTAACAAACTGATAGCATTTGGATTGTTTTTTTAAACTACTTGTACCTGGGATTATTAATATTCTCAATTGGTTTCTCCAAAACATATAATTTGATGACTTGCCTAAAGAACATCTAGGAAAAGATTATGCTATGAATTCTTTGGATTTAACTTTATAGTGTGTGCCTATTTAGTTGTATTTTTATTTTTTTTATTCAGTTTTTTAATAACACATAAATTCCCTATTTATTTATTTAGTGAAAATTTTTCAATATTACTTTTTTTAGAAAACTTTCCAAATATAACAAACTTTGAGGAAAAAATTAACATGTGGTTTTTGTGGGTGTAATCTACATTTCACTAATTTTAAATTTACACCATACACTCACTTTTCGAGATAAAATTCGAAACAAAATAGCCACCTAGGGGCATTGGTTCAATGGCATACTTAATGCATTGAAGTTCAACATAATTAAATCATTGAACAACCCTTCTTACTGATTTCTTTTGGTTAATTTGTTCCATTAATATATAACAGCCCTTCTCATTGAGCAGCTGAGAACGAGTCTTATCCTTTTCAATTCAAGCGTACACAATTTCCAATTCGTTTGTGTTTTGCATTGACGATAAACAAGGCTCAAGGACAAACTATTACCTAGGTTGTTAAAGATGATCAAGTCAACCTTACATGATTTGTGGCTTTGATTTAGTGCACAAGGAATATATGGTTACTTGCTGTAATTGTAAAGCTTGATTGTAGGCTAGCATAATTATAGGGATATGACAGGCATGATTATAGGAATGTGATTATACTCTTCTTGTCTATATATATCTCAGCATATGTAATGTAAAGATGTGTAAAAAGTTTTCTATATTATATTCATTTCTTTTCATGGTATCAGAGCAATAAGCTCTTGGTGACCAAACCTTTTCATGGTATCCTAGCCACCCTTTGTATCTCCATCACTCTGATCATCCAGGAGTTGTGTTGGTCTCTCAACCCCTGGTTGAAACTAATTACAGTACTTGGAGTCGTGCCATGATAATGGTGTTTGAGTGCAAAGAACAAAGTTTCCTTCATTAATGGATCTATACCAAAACCGAACAGTTCCGCGGTGGGCGAATTGCAACAATGGATTCGCTGCTACGATATGGTAAAGTCATGGATATTGAATTCTTTTTCAAAGGAGATATGTCCAAGTGTGATCTATTGTAATCTTGCTAATGAAATTTGGGTGGAATTGAGAGAACGTTTCTTCCAAATTAGCAGTCCACATGTGTTCAGATTGAGCGATCACAATCTTGTCCAAGACACCATGTCTGTGGTGACATATTTTATGGGATGAGTTATCTGCCCTTTGTCCAGTACCTTCTTGCACTTGTGGTGCAATGAAGGAATCTCTTCAATATCAACAAAGATAAGAGGACAATGGGTCTTAACGAATCATATTCAGCGGTCTGTGGACAGATTTTATTAATGGATCCATTTCCTTCAGTTAATCGAGCATATTCATTGGTGCTTCAAAAGGAATGTCAACGAGAAGTGGCCTCTT